TCGTCCTCCTCCTCCTCCTCCTCCGCCTCCTCCTCCTCCTCCTCGGGTCGCCTACGGCCCGGGGGGCCGCCCACTGGGGCCTCCTTCGACGTTTTTTTGTTCCAGAAGTCCAACGCCTTGACAAAATCAAGGCGTCATTTTTTCGCAATGTTTGGACTCTATCAGGGCACTCGCCGGGCCTCGGGGCCGTCAAAAAACCACCCAGGATGACAAACTGGTCCTGGGGAACGGTGAAAAAACACAACGTCGGATCTCTGGGTTCCCAGACACGGTCGCGTCGTGACATAAACCAGGGCGGGGGGGGGTTCGGCCGTCTTCGGCCTCTGGGGGGCCCTCGCCGAGCGGATTTGGACCGGCAACAAAACGAACCAGGATGGAAAAACGGTCCCATGGTAAGGGTCGGAACTTCCGGGGACCCCGCAGTGGACAAATCAGGACGTCGCATGCCTGGGTTGCCCCCATCGTACTTAAGGACCACATCCTAGAAACAACTTCGAGCACCCAGGGGAATACCGAAGCAATGTCTACCTGACACGCTATAGCGAAAGGTCCGACACGAGAACAACTTCCGCTTTTGATACTTTCCTGATGCTCGACCTTCGTTCTTGTGATCATGGCTAAAGTAGGTCGGAACATCATACGCCCAGGTGGCAGCATCACACATCGCCCAGCCGACTCTGCGCGATGAGGACGCGAGGGCCTCGGGAGGCCATGCCGACACCTTGCGAGCGGCGAGCGCGGCCAGCGAAAGTGGCCAAGGATGGACCGCGGAGGCAAGGCTGCAAGGGTACCCCTGGCAAGGTTGCCCGTCCTTACGGTGCGGGTTGACTGCGCACATCGCCCGGCCGACGCTAACGCGAGACTCAATGGGGGGTCAGCCGGAAAGGAAGAGCTCCTGGGGCGCGCCGGGGAACCCAGCTCTCTGGCAGGCTGCCGCGGAAGACAGGACGAGCTCCCTGGCGAGGGGTTCAAGCACGGAGGAGGAGGAGGAGGAGGAGGCGGAGGAGGAGGAGGAGGAGGAGGAAGAGGGTCAGTTACCCCCGTCTCGCATCCTGGAAGAGGGAGTAACTCTCAGCCGCGGGCGTGCTGGCGCGTGGGGTCATCCCCCCCCCCTCGGCGCACCCAGAGGAGAAGCGCGAGAGCCCACATTGCAGGTGTAACCTACAATTGCACTCTAATCTGAAGGGTAGCGAAATCCAGTGGCAGAGCGCGCGGGGGAGCGCGCGGGGGAGAAGGAGCGAAATCCACGCGCCGCCAGGGGTCCAAGGCTTCGTGGGTCGCCGCGAGGAGAGGCCCCCTGCGGAGAGGAGGGCATAAATCTGGCCAGGGTTGGCGGGGGGTCCGGGCAGGAGTCGGGGGGGTGATCGTTGCATGCGTCGGCGGCGAGCCCAGCGGGGCAATCGGGGGCGGGCCTTCTCGGAGGGCTCGGAAAGCCTCGGGCCTTCTGGGCATGGTTTGGACCCTTTCCCTCCTCCTCCTCCTCCTCCTACTCCTCCTCCTCCTCCTCCTCCTCCTTCGCTCAGGAGGAGGAGGAGGAGGAGGAGGAGGAAGAAGCGCAGAACAACTTCTCGGGAGGCCAGCGGGCGGCCGAGGAGCCCCGCACGCACTCTGGGCGGGCCGCTCTGTCGCCGAGCTGGAGGAGCCCACAGCGGGCACCTGGCGGGCTCGGGCCGCGACGGCCCGAGCGTTGGCTTCTGGCACCGCGCGGGTGCTGCAGCCTTGGACAAATCGGCGTCGATCCGAGGCATCCGCGGGAAGCTCCGCGAGAACTTACGTCGGGGATGGACAGACCCCCCTTTAGTAAAACGTGGTTTAGCGAAAACGACCTGAGGCCCAAACCTGGCGTGCGCAAGCCTGGAAAATAACGGCCACGGCGCCCTCTCGAGAACCGAAAACGGACAATTCACTAATCGACGTGTCACTGTTGGGGGTTCTGTCCACCCCCGATTACGCTCGTGACTCCTGCGCCCTCGGCACAGGTGTGCAGGGGCTTCGATCGCCGACGTGGCTGCGGCGGTGGCCACCCGGCAAAGCTGTGTGCGATTGAGAGTGTCGCGCCTCGGGCTGTCCACCGCTTCTGCTTCCGCCGGGATGGCGCCCAGAGGCTTGACGAAGGACGGGCCCATGGTGCCGCTGTACGTCTGGCCGTTGATCTGCAGCGTGTCGTAGCCCCACTCCGTGTCGAACTCCACGGCGCTGACGAACGATATCTCGTCCACGTTCACCCCGATGACGCACTTCTCGGCGGTCCCGTAAGGCTGCGGGTAGTTCGGGCTCAGGATGCAATCGCTGCTGTCCTTCGTGCACGGGCCCGAGGCGACGGCCCACGCGACGCCGCTCGGCACCTGCACCCCCGCGGTGTCGCCATTGGGTGTGGGCGCATACTGTGTGCCGGTGTACGTGCCTTTCGAGCCCCCTCCGCAAGCGCAGCACGCCTCCAGGCTGCTCTTTCCGCCCGCTTTGAAGTCGGAGAGCGTGCCCCACTCCTCGTGCCATCCCACGCCTGGCTCACCTGCAGTGGTGCAGAAAAAATACTCGGAGTAGGTCGTGCAGCCGTCTCCGTCCTTGTCCACCCAGCCCTCAGTGTCCGCGCACTGGTTGTCGTTGTACCCCTGGAAAGTGTCGCTGCCGCCGCCGCACGAGCAGCAAGCAGTGGACGCGTCGTACCCGTTGTTGGTGAAGGATTGGAAAGTCCCCCAATCCTTGTCCCAGTCCTCGCCGTAATCACCTGAAGCCGTGCAGAACTCGTTGAACTCGTACGCCCAGCAATCGTCGCCGTCTTTGTCGGTCCAGTCTGGTGGATAATCCGTACAGCCAGGGTTCGTCATACTCTCTGGCCTGCAGTAGCCCCAAGCAAACGATTCGCACTGCGGATCCTCCACATAGCAATAGTCACCGTCTGGGTCGTCCTCAAAATTGCAACATCCCTGGCTGCATGTCTTGCCCGACTCCTGCCAAGATGCCTTGCACATGCAGTCCGACCAAGTGTACCGGGCTGCCGGCGGCGTCGGCGTCGCCTCCTGGCTCGGCACCGAGCCAGACTTCACAGCAACGCCTTGTGGGCAGAGCCTCCACCCCGTCCTGGCGACTCCAGCGTCGCTCGACCAAACGATGGCGCTCAGAGGCTTGACGAAGGACGGGCCCATGGTGCCGCTGTACGTCTGGCCGTTGATCTGCAGCGTGTCGTAGCCCCACTCCGTGTCGAACTCCACGGCGCTGACGAACGATATCTTGTCAACGTTCACCCCGATGACGCACTTCTCGGCGGTCCCGTAAGTCTGCGGGTAGTTCGGGCTCAGGATGCAATCGCTGCTGTCCTTCGTGCACGGGCCCGAGGCGACGGCCCACGCGACGCCGCTCGGCACCTGCACCCCCGCGGTGTCGCCATTGGGTGTGGGCGCATACTGTGTGCCGGTGTACGTGCCTTTCGAGCCCCCTCCGCAAGCGCAGCACGCCTCCAGGCTGCTCTTTCCGCCCGCTTTGAAGTCGGAGAGCGTGCCCCACTCCTCGTGCCATCCCACGCCCATCTCACCTGCAGTGGTGCAGAAAAAATGCTCGGAGTATGTCGTGCAGCCGTCTCCGTCCTTGTCCACCCAGCCCTCAGTGTCCGCGCACTGGTTGTCGTTGTACCCCTGGAAAGTGTCGCTGCCGCCGCCGCACGAGCAGCAAGCAGTGGACGCGTCGTACCCGTTGTTGGAGAAGGATTGGAAAGTCCCCCAATCCTTGTCCCAGTCCTCGCCGTAACCACCTGAAGCCGTGCAGAACTCATTGAACTCGTAGGCGTAGCAATCGTCGCCGTCTTTGTCGGTCCAGTCTGGTGGGTAATCCGTACAGCCAGGGCTCGTCATACTCTCTGGCCTGCAGTGGCCCCAAGCAAACGATTCGCACTGCGGATCCTCCACATAGCAATAATCACCGCCCGGGTCGTCCTCAAAATTGCAACATCCCTGGCTGCATGTCTTGCCCGACTCCTGCCAAGATGCCTTGCAAATGCAGTCCGACCAAGTGTACCGGGCTGCCGGCGGCGTCGGCGTCGCCTCCTGGCTCGGCACCGAGCCGGACATCACAGCAACGCCTTGTGGGCAGAGCCTCCACCCCGTCCTGGCGGCTCCAGCGTCGCTCGACCAAACGATGGCACCCAGAGGCTTGACGAAGGACGGGCCCATGGAGCCGCTGTACGTCTGGCCGTTGACCTGCAGCGTGTCGTAGCCCCACTCCGTGTCGAACTCCACGGCGCTGACGAACGATATCTTGTCAACGTTCACCCCGATGACGCACTTCTCGGCGGTCCCGTAAGTCTGCGGGTAGTTCGGGCTCAGGATGCAATCGCTGCTGTCCTTTGTACACGGGCCCGAAGCGACGGTCCATGCGACGTCGTTCGGCACCTGCACCCCCGCGATGTCGCCATTGGGTGTGGGCGCATACTGTGTGCCGGTGTACGTGCCTTTCGAGCCCCCTCCGCAAGCGCAGCACGCCTCCAGGCCGCTCTTTCCGCCCGCTTTGAAGTCGGAGAGCGTGCCCCACTCCTCGTGCCATCCCACGCCTGGCTGACCTGTAGCAGTGCAGAGGAAATGCTCGGAGTAGGCTGCGCAGCCGTCTCCGTCCTTGTCCACCCAGCCCTCAGTGTCCGCGCACTGGTTGTCGTTGTACCCCTGGAAAGTGTCGCTGCCGCCGCCGCACGAGCAGCAAGCAGTGGACGCGTCGTACCCGTTGTTGGAGAAGGATTGGAAAGTCCCCCAATCCTTGTCCCAGTCCTCGCCGTAACCACCTGAAGCCGTGCAGAACTCATTGAACTCGTACGCCCAGCAATCGTCGCCGTCTTTGTCGGTCCAGTCTGGTGGGTAATCCGTACAGCCAGGGTTCGTCATACTCTCTGGCCTACAATCCGCCACCGAGCCCGTGGGCACGAGTTGGATTGCCTCCAGGTCCCTTGCTCTATCCCCTGAGCCTCAGTCCTCACTCTTGAAGATTCTTTTCGGAGCCTGGGCCCCAAATTCTTTAATCTCAATGGGCTTGTCGCGTGGTTCCCTGGGTTTGTCGCATGACGTGTTCGGCCCACAAAGGCTCCAAGCTGTGCCACGAGTGCTCCAAAAGATGCCCCCAAGATAGCCCAAGAGGGCCCCGAACTGCCGACGATGGCCCGCAGTCTGCCGAAAACTCGTCTAAGACACACAAAGAAGCCTACAAGAGCAGGGCCCCAAGAGGCAAACATTGTCCCACTCCCGCAGGAAAGCGTAGATTTGTGAGACCGGTGTTGGAGCTCCCTGGACCCCGACTGGGAGGAAACACGAGAAAAAAACATTAAGAACACCAAATTGGGAGTTATTCTGGCAGGCCCCCCCCCTCAGGGACCCCAAGAAAAGGGGGGGAGCTCGGGAGGTTTGTTGGGGGCTTCCAGGGCCATGCAATAAAAAACAAAAACATGATTGAACAAGATGCACAAACTACCCCAAACAACAAAAGACAACCGAACACTCTCCGAAAACCCTCTGGAAAAAAGACAACAACACTCGAGGAGTTTTCGTTGGTTTGTCGAGCGGTTCACGGGGGCGATCGAGCAAAACTCTCAGAATCGCAACTCGAGACCACCCTCCCGGGACCCCCCCATTTGTCTGTTTTTTGGGGCTCAAAACTTACAACGAATTGGCACATGTGTTTGTTTTGTTGAAATATGTTCTTTCTTACGTTTCCTTTGGGAAAACCCCCAGAGAAACCTCCCACCTCGAATATGTTATGTTTTTTACTCGGAGGGTGTCCCCACCATTGAGACCAACAAAATTGCATGAACACTCCTCAACAATTCCTCTTATACATATATTATATATATACTTTTTGTGCGTGGGGGGGTGGGTGGGGGTAAGGGCTACACAATAAAAGCAAATCAATTCCTGAACACAAACCCAAACAACCCGCAACAAAAACAACGGAAAATCCGCGAGCTCGGCAGCTTCTCTTCTTTTGTTGTCGGGGGGTGGCCCGGGGGCTCAAAATTCCTGACGCCCCCCAGCAGTAAACATGGACAAACACCCCGACTCTGAGGTTTTGCTCGTTTTTGTTTCGCAGGGCTCTGGGGGCCTGCAACAAACACTAAATCGTGTCTGACCCCCCTTCAACAAAGGATGAAAACAAAACGCAGAAACATCCCAACTCGGGTGCTGTTCTGGTTTTTTCGTGGGGGTCCAGGGCCCCACAAGTTCGAACAATGCTATTTCTGACCCCCCCTCCGAACAAAACAAATCCCCGCAAAAAGAATCCAACTCGATGGTTTCTTTTCGGGAGTCCCGCAATTAAAAACAATGCGACTTCTGTAAAGATCCCAAGCACACACACACACTAGAAGAACACCTAAAACACCCCCCCCAATTCAGATTTTTGTTCAGAGGTTCTCCAGCCGCACCAAGTTCTGGGGGGAAACGCTAAAACACAAAAACATCTTCCGCACCTTCGAGATGGTGCGGAAGGTGCTAGGGTTTCGATTGTGTCTTCAGATGTCTGCCGGTGTCTTTGCATGTCTCCGTGCTTTGAGAAACTTGTGGTAATTCACAGTAACCTGCGTTATCTTAAACAAATGTGCGGGTGAGCGCATATTTGATGGTGATGTTGACGATGTTGATGAAGACCGCGGCGACGATGATGATGATGATGGTGGTGATGGTGGAAATGATGGTGACGATGATGGTGGAGGTGACGATTGTGATGATGATGAGGATGAGGAGATGGAAACGACGAAGGTGATGCTGATGAGGAGGAGGACGAGGAGGAGGAGTTTGAGAAGGAGGATGACGATCACGATTGTGATGCCCATCTGTTGTGCGATGGTGATGATGATGGTGACTACAAGTAATGAAGATATGGTGGTGATGATGATGAAAAGGGAAAGGAGGATGGCGATTACGATTGCGATGCCCATGTTGAGATTCTGATGTCGGTGCTCGCAATGTTGGTGGAGATGACCATGCTAGTGGTGATGATGATGATGATGATGATGATGATGATGATGATGATGATGATGATGATGATGATGATGGTAATCATTACCACGCTGATCAATTCTGGCGACGATGGTGACGACGATGGAGACACGGTCCTCGATCCTCGATCCTGGACCCTCGCTTCTGGATCCTCGCTCAATTTTCCACATCCTCGATCCTCGATCTCTCGATCCTTCGATCCCCGACCGATCCCATCGATCCCCCCCTCGATCCGCTCTTCGATCCCTCGACATCGTTGATATCCCGCCCCTCGATCGCCGATTCGATCGTCGATGGGTCGATCTCTTGGTCGCGGACGCGCGCACGCGATCGGGTGACCCACGCGCGGGCGGGTCACCCCAAATCCGGCTGGTCACCGTTCAGGGTTCACTTCTGTATCCAGACCACCACGACAACATTTCCGTTGTGGACATACATAGTTCCCTGCGCGCGCGCCCGCGCGCGCGCGCGATCGGGTCCCCCACGCGCGTGCAGGTCACCCAAAATCTGGTTGGTCATCGTTAAAGGGTTAACTGCAGGTTCCAAGCCAACATGACGAATTTTCCACTGGCGACAACTGCAGATGTTCACGCGGGCCTCCGCACGCGCGCGCGCGATCGGGTGACCCGCGCGCGGGCGGGTCACCCGAAATCCGGTTAGTCACCTTCAAGGGATCACTTCGGTTTCCAGACTACCATGGCAAGTTTTCCACGCGCGCGCGTCCGCGCGCGGGCGCGATCGGGTAACCCACGCGTGGGCGGGTCACCCGAAATGCGCCTGGTCACTGTTAAGGGTTCGTTGTTTCAAGGGCATCAGGAAGAATTAATTTCCCATTGCGAACGATGGCGAATTCCCCACGCGCGCGCCCGCGTGCGCCCGCGATCGGTGACCCACGCGCGGGCGGGTCACCCGAAATCCAGTTGGTCACCACCTCCTCGATCCTCGATCCTCCATCCTCGATCCTCGATCACGATCCTCTATCCTCCTCGATCCCGATCCTCGATCTCCTCATCGTCGATTTTGCTATAATGACATAATATTTGCATAACAATCCATTGAAACAACGCCATCGCCAACGATGTCAGCGTTTCATCAGAATTCGTATGTCCAACCGGCATTCATAAGGGAAGACGTTGCCAAACCCACAGTAATACGGATAGCGTAAGATTCGGGCCCAAGTTTCGCTTCAATGCAGCAGGGCTAAATATATATTGCGCCGAGTTGCTTACCGAACGGCGTTGAAATTCAGAACTTTCGGGACAACCAAACCGCATGTCTATTAAGGCTTATGCCATATCTTCGAACTTTTGAAAGGTAATGTACGATTCCAAGACAACCCGTTGGTTTGGCCCAGAATTGTCAGCGTCTGCGCTCGTCCGTGGATGTCTCTCGTTGTCTGTGAATGTATTGAAATGTCTTGGAATGTCTCGAACTGTCATTCAAATGTCTTGAACATGTTGGTGGTCTGTCTTTGTCGTGTCTTTGCGTGTCTTCGTTTGTCTTTGTTTGTCTGGGAATGTCTGTGGATGTCTTCGAATGTCTTGAAAAGTCGGAGAATGTCTTGAGATGTCTTGGGTTGTCTTGAACATGTCTTTAAAAACAAAAATCCTTCATATGTCTTGGGGTGTCTTGACATGTCGTGGAATGTCATGAAACATCTTGACATGTTTTGAAGACGTTTTGAACATGTTCTTAAACATGTCTCAACGTCCGGCGCGAGAAATCAAACGTGTCTTAGTATCTGGCCCGGACACTAAGTCATGTCTGCGTTTTCGGGCCGGCAAATCAGACATGTCTCAGATTTCGGCCCGAACAGGCCGACATGATTTAGATGCCCTAGAATCTTGAGACATGTGTTAGTGCTCGGTCCGGAAAATCAGACATGTCTGAAGTTGTCGGGCCGAAAACTTACACATATCTTAGTCTTCGGCCCGACAGCTGCGCCGTGTCTGACTCTTCAGGCCGAGAACTAAGACATGTCTTAGTTTCGGCCTGACATGTTAGACATGTATTAAGGTCTCGGGCCGAAACGTAAGACATGTCTGAATTTTCGGGCCGAGTTCGGTCCGAAAAGTCAGACATGTCTTAGTGTGCTCACATGTCGCTACTTTTCTCTTCAATAACTGACACATGTCTGAGTTTTCGAGCCGAACGCTAAGACAAGCTTCAATCGTTGGTTTGGAAAACTACGTGACCTTCTAGTCTCCTTTGAAAACATAAGCCCCTATGTTTTGTACCGGGCCCGAAAACTAAGCTGTGCCTTCGCGTTCATGTTCTGGGAAACAACTGCGATGTGTCTGATTCTACGGCCAGACAAGTCGCACGGCCAGAATGTCAAAACATGGGAGAAGGTGGGTCTTTGGATCGAGGAAGATCGAAAATGGGGGTTGACGATGGGATCAATGATGGGAATTGGGATCGAGGGTGATGACGATGAGGATTAGGACGCGGATGTTGATACGAATACCGGTTATGACGACGACGACAATGATGTTGATGTTGATGAGGATGGCGATGATGATTGTGGCGATGATGGTGATGCTGACGCTGGCGATGATGATGGTGATGCATATGATGCTGATGGTGGTGTCGGTGGTGCTGATGATGATGTCGATGATGAAGATGGTGATTGTGCTGGTGATCAGTATGATGATGCTGAAAAAAAGGTGGCTGATGATGAAAGGCTGATGGGAATAACGACGATGAGGATGACGATGGTGGCAAGCTTGATGCAGAGGAAGAGTAGGACGAGGAGGATGAGGAAGAGGAGGAGAAGGAGGATGAGGAGGAGGAGGATGTGTGTTCACGATGGTGATGGTGGTACGAATGATGAAAACGGTGGAAATCATGATGATGACGATGATGATGATGAAGTTTTTTTCATTCTGCGCCTTGGGCCCCTATGTG